AGATATCTGAAAAACTTTCCCTGTTAACTTCTTGACAGTATACTTTGAATGTGTGACGGAATCGACCGATACTTGATAAAAACTCGTGACGTAATCAAGAAACTCATTCGATTGCAAAAGATTTTACTAATTTATTTCTCTTTTTGATTAACATTCATTTCAGAAAATCAGACGAAGAGATCTGGAATCTCTTTCCCTTAAAAAAAAGTTGATTGCGCGCTCTTGATGGCAAGTGATGTCAAACTATTGTTTTTTTCATCAAAAAGTACTGACATGAATTCTTCTTACAGAAGTTCAGTGCAACTCTGATTACTTGCCGGGTTTAGAAGTTGAGAAGGGGTGGGTATATTTACGTCCGTACTGTATAATTTTTTCCATGGAAACAAAGTATATATTCAAACGTATTTTCAAGTTCAGATTTTGTCAGGAGAGATCTCAAAGAGATCTAAAATTGTTTTACCATCATAACGGCACGGGCTCAAATAACTCAAGAGAGCTTTGATGTCATCTGGGTTCTGTATCTGTAGAGTAGGGAGGGTGAGTAGGAAGGGTGAGTAGGGAGGGTGAGAATGTGACCCATTGTAAATCCTCCCAAGGAGTTGTCCTCCTAGGTCGTCATTCACTCTGTCCTTTCCAGGAAGGTGTACAGGTCTCTGGGAGACATGTCCTTTATATCGGCAGGTGTAGGCCAGGACTCGTCGAACACACACTCTCTTGTTGACGATAATTCCGGACATTCGCATAGGATATGCCTGACAGCTTCATCTTTCTGTTCCCAGGGTCCCCCAGGTTGATCCTAGCAAGATTGCGTCCTTTGATTCCATCCCACCTCTTCAGGGATTGAGCATAGGTGTGACGTTTGGCTAGTTTCGCAATTCTCGAAGTCATCAGGCTGTAGGTGCCACTGGGTTCTAAAGTTGTTAGTCCAGCCACTTCCACGGCTGAAGAGTCGGCTCCAGTACTAGCCCTGAGGTAACACGTTGTCTGTTCAAGGCTAATAGGGCTTGTCAGCTGTCAGGGCAGATTGTTATGTTTTTGCCAAGAATTCCTTTGCTGGTTATTCCTTTTGTGTGATTGAGACACCAGCCAGTTCTGTTTGGACCACGCTGGTATTTTTCCCATTCCCCAGTTGATCCCTAGGCTTAGAGTACACTTACATCCTGAGCCTTCTTCTGTTTTTGAGCCGTCTGTATATATTTGTATTGCATTTGTAACATCTGACTCTGTGTTCTGTTTTTCTTGTATTTTGTAGAGTTTATCGAACACAAACCTGGGTTTAATTGCATCACTGGTTGCCTGTAGCAGAGGTTGCGCAGTAAGCGCTTATCGCCATAAGCTCAGCCTCAATTGATCCATTCCTACTTCGAGTTTCACAACAGCCATGCACAATTGTAACATGACCATTAACGCAACCTCCTCAACGTGCAGGTCCAGAAAGGTCAGACCCGTAATTAATTCCATTGCTGCGGTTGTTGTTGTTTTCATTTGTTCTCATGGCTCCTGTGATGTTTTAACAAGCCAGTCCCTGTATTTGATATAATTTTTGGATGACCGTTGCTTGTAGGACTTTCGGTCCCCATGAAATGGCCCTGTACGTTAACATAGGTCTAATTATTGCAGTGTAAATCCAGTTGACCACACGTGGTGAAAGACCCAATCCTCCGACATTGCTCATAAGCCACATATGCTATCCTTGCTCTACTCTTCAGAGAAGTTTAGTTTGCTTCTGAAGATTTCGGAAGGTTTTAGGCCCGATAAACTTCTTTTCCTGGCGAAAAGGACCATCTCATGTCATCTGGGTTATGGTCCTAGATAGCGAATACGTCATCATCATATCTATACCATATTTTTGTGACTTTCTGGTGATTCTCCTCAAAATATTCCATGATAATGCTAATCATAATAGATGACAAAAATGAGCACAATGCCATACCAAACCTTGTTGATAAAAATCCGCTTTGAACTGGAAAAATGTTTCATCGATACATACTTTCAGAAGATACAATATAGCTTTCACATTCAATTTTGTTCTATTTTCCACATGAATATCACTTTCTACTTTATTTTTTACAGTTTTGAAGACAGGTAGATCCGATTAAACTGACCATTGGAATTGGAAGTCAGAGTTCTGTGTAGTTTTGGTGAACCATAAAAATGTGGGGATTGAGAATAGTGAGAAATGATAATTGGACTCTCCGATGATTTATATCATGCAGTAACTCCCTTAGGTGAAATTTTCGGTTCGTCCTTTGTTTCACTTCGGCGTGTTCTCCACTGAGTTTGCTTGGACTATTTTTTAAATTTTGAAAGATTGAACACCCAAAACGTAGTAATAGGGTAAGGTTAGGTTAGGTCCAAAGTGAGTGGGTCTATTCGACCCTCCACCGCAACCCGCAAGGGTATAACATTATTTTTCACAATATCTTCATACAATAACAAGAAATACGTCAGAGAAAAACATCCTAAATAAAGAGAGCGTTTTCACACTGAACTATTACACTATATATGTTTGAAAGTATAAAATTATTTTTCACATCATTTTATGTAAAACAAGAAAAACGTCACAAAAATGGCATTAAAAAAAGGGCAGACTCCCTTCTAATACGTAATAAATATATAAAATGTTGAACAATACACATTAGTTCCTCGTAAATAAAGAGAATGTTTTCACATTAGACTATTACACTATATATTTTACATACATTCGTGGGAAAATGCTCAGGAGTCATCAAGCGAGTAGCAATTTTTTTCAAGTGAAATTTTTTTCAATCTATACTTGAAGCTTTTCAACGTAGGTGAGTTCTTAACTGAGTCATCCAGCTTTATTGAAGAATTTCGGGCCGAGATAAAGGAAACTTTTTTGGAATAAGGTCATTCTGTAAGGGCATCGGAAAATCTCTATAACGGGTAATATAACTATGTTGCTGGGTTACTGTGAAATATCAAGTTATTCGCAAGTTATGAATACATTGTCAAAATACGATTTTTCAATTAAGATGTTATTATTATTGACTCACTTTTTTATTAGCATTCGACAGATAGATTGTGGAAGTGTAACAAATGGATGAGCTGATTGAGGAATTTATAGATACATATTCTGTGGAGAGATTAATGTTTTGGAAAAACGTTTTCTGGATGCATATGAACATTTGGGGGAATATAATAATAATGCAAAGAATAAAGAACAATCAACAGGCACCTACACCCCAACTGCTTTCATCTCGTAACCTCATTTCCGTTCGTCAAATAGCCACGGTTGAATAATAAAAATATGCAGAAGTTCGAAAACATTTTAAGGAATCAAATCATTTTTCAAATTGTCGAAAGTACTGTTAGATATCATTATTAGAAATGCTAAACAATATAATACCAGGGTGGTTCCAGAAGTACCAAGCCTGACCTGATGGTTGCTGTTTGAAAATTATCGCGGTATTAGAAAGTACATAATCAATAAAGCATATGTTTCAAGTTTGAAGACGCTGAGTTGTTTAGTGTTCATTTGGCAGCCATCAATAGCGAAAGTTTGCTCATTGTTATGTGGCACAATACTGGAAGGTCTCAGCCCAACCAATACAAAAGCTGAACTAGATTCTACTCTGGGTGAGTCTGCTCCTTCGTTTACAATAGTGAAATATTGGGTAGCAGAGTTCAAACGAGGCCGTACGAGCTGTCAAAACGAGCATCGCAGTGGTCGATCAAATGAGATGACGACTCCAGAAACGGTGAAGAAAATCCACAAAGCGGTACTGAATGATCGTCGATTGAAAGTGCGCGAGCTAGCAGACTTAGTAGGCATTTCAAAAAGTGCGATATATAATGGGTATATAATACGGTATATATGAAAATTTGAAGATGAGAAAGCCGTGTGCGAGATGGGTGCCGCGTTTGCTCACACTCGAGCAGAAACAGTGTCATTTCAATTGAATGTTTAGCAAAGTTTCATAACCATGGATGAAACATTGGTTCATCACTTTACAGCCGAGACAAAAAAACAACAGTGGAGTCAAAAGGGATAACCGACTCCAAAAAAGGCGAATACTGTTTCATCTGCAGGCAAGGTCATGGCATCGGTTTTTTGGCATGCGCGTAGGATAATTTTCAATAACTATTTCAGAAAAAGTAAAACAATCAAGGGTGAACTTATTGCAACGTTTGAGTGAAGAAATCAAGCAGAAACAGTCGCATTTGGCTAAGAAAAGTGTTGTTTCACAACCACCAGCTCACAAATTCATTATCGCAATGACCAAAATCAACGAAATAGAGTTTGAATTGCTAACTCATGCACCATATTTATTAGATTCAGCCCCCTTGGATTATTTTCTGTTCCCAAACTTGAAAAAATGGCTCAGTGGTACAATATTTCCCAACAGTAAAGAAGTGATGTCGGCAGTTGATGGCTATTTTGAGGAGTAAGACAGTTCTTATTATAAAAACGGTGAAGAATTTATTGAACGTCTCAGGGAAAGGTGTATAGAACTGCAATGAGATTATGTTGAGAAATAAATGAATTTTTTACAAAATTTTTGTGTTTTTTGTTGGGTCATGTATTTCTGGGACCACCCACGTAATAATAATATTAATGTTTATCTTCCATTAGAAACAGATACCATGTATTGGAATCGTTAAAGTACACATAAAGCCATGACACAAAATTCACAGTGTGAGCAACACGGTTGTTATCAAAACAACAACAAAATCAAAATAAAATAAAATGAAATACAGCACAGACACACTTACATATTACGAATCGTAATATGTTACGGTTATTTGGAAGAAAATATTTTTGCTTTCTACTTCTCCATTTTCATACAAAATATATGAGAAACTTCTGAAGGAAGAAAGAAAGCAATCAACTTCAAAATAAACTCTTCACAAAGATGTTCCGACATCTTTCAGTACCGCCTTTGTTTCATTTTTCAAGCTTCACAATTAACGGAGATGTATATTTTGAACTGAATTCTGGGACACCTTGTGATTATCAATAAATATTTTTTTTGCAGGGCCGCTGGCAGCTTCTTGGTAATGGATCCAAATCAGACATGCAAGAGAGCAAGATGGCAGAGAGGAAAAATGGCCGACATTTGTCATAACAAACCAGGTCTATTGAACCAAATAGCTAAAGGTGTTGCTCTTGCTCAAACAGAGTGCCAGTATCAGTTCAGATATAGAAGATGGAATTGCACAACTCTGAGAAGGAGTATCAAAAAAGTCATGTTGAGAGGTGAGTATCATTTTAGCAATGTGTGATAAAAACGATGGTGAAGATATCAATTTCCACATTTTGGAAGAAGAAGGCCTGAAATATATCTTGAGTGGATTTGTGTTCGAGATGATGATATTTTCAGGATAATAGACTTCAATTACAATACACATGAAAAACATTCAAATGGAGTTCTTTTGTGCATGAACTTTTTGCAAATGTTGACTTTCGTTTATATTTTTCATCGTTTTTGCTCGAAAGGAACCAACAATAATCCCCCATCATTGCTGCATCCCATCTACCTTGGTAACGTGGCTCCATTGTCAGTATGTCTTGGTGGAACCTTTCCCCTTGTTCGTCACTAGCAGCACCCAAATTCTCTGGGAAAAAATTCAAATGGGAGTGCAAGATATGGATTATGAGAAACATGCGACATCCCATTCTGCAGTAGTTTTCAAGTAGTTCCTCTACAAGTGTTTCGTAATTTTCTAATTTCTTGTTCCTAAAGACTCCGAAACAATGATTAATCATTAAACTGTTGATCACTTAGTAGTTTTCTAATTTGTGGTCCAACAAATATACCTGCCTTGAGCTTTGCATCATTTAATTTTGAAAAAACGTGTTTAAGATATTTGAACGCATCACTTTCTTTATCTAATGCTTTTACAAAATTTTTCATTAACCCCAGTTTAATGTGTAATAGAGGTAACAAAACGTTTTTGGAATTAACAAGAGGTATATTCTTCACGTTAGCTTGACTCGGAATATATTTATCTCTCGGAGGCCTTTCTTTTACTTGATAATGGCTCTGTGTTGCCCTTCTGTTCGAAAGGCAAAGAAAACAGCAAAACTTCGCCTTCAAGACCTAGTAATAGTCCTATGAATTTCAGGTCACCACATATTTGCCAAATTATACGTATTATAACTCATTGCATTTAGAATTTTTGTTTTGTTTCCTTCATGGCAACTGCATGTGTCAGAGGAATTAAGGGTTTTTGTTACCATTATGGAGCAGAACGGCTTGCCAGATTTTAAACAATTTCCTCGAATTAGGAGAAAAGTAAATTTGGAAAGTCGTGTTCATTAAATTTTTGTGAAAAAAATCATAACTCAAAAATCTTACGTATTGGAAAATTTTTACTTTCATTTCGCATTCAGGGACCAAAAATTAAAAAGAACCGCCTTTGGTATTACAGTCGTAAATTGGCCGTAAACTAGTGTTATTAAAGTATTAAATATTATATTCCTATATCTTCATGTTTTGATTGATTTGTTCGCTATTTTTTGAGTTTATCGCTGTCAGAGAGCCAGTCACGGATGGGGATTTTTTTTATAATTTGCAACCCCTTCTAGAACAATAGTGAAAACTCCTTAAATACGTTCCAAAACTTATAATTACCTTGTCAAAAATCAACAGGTATTTGAATCAATGATGATGATGATAATTTGCGTTTATTGTCTATGAATATAAGGGGAACAGTTCTCAGCTTTGCTGATGACACAACGATAGTATATGCAGCGCGTTGCTGGGAAGATGTGAAAGTCATGGCCGAAACCGATTTTCAGTTAATCGAAAAATGGTTTCAGTTCAATGAATTGACGCTCAATATAGATAAAACCCGTTATCTTCCATTCACGTCCCACATTAACAATTTATCTCAACTGGGAAATCTGTATGTTGATAAAAGAACAACAATACCAGAAGCAGAGTCTGTCAAGTATCTCGGAATCATAATAGATAGGCACTTACGCTGGGATGAACATACTAATTATATAACAAAAAATATTAGAGGTAGTATTAGTAGATTCAGATAATTAACACAGTTTTTGGATGTACATCACTTGAGAACTGTATATTACTCAATAATCCAATCCCAATTGACATATGGAATAATGGGTTGGGGTGGAGTACTTGATTGTCATCTGGAAAAGGTGAATGTATTGCAAAAATGGATTCTGAGAATTATTCACTGAAATTTATGATTACGACAAAATGCCTCGATTGTGATAAAATTTTCTCGAATATGACAATCTCACTTGTAGTGTATTCAATACTCAAATTGAATAGTGAAGTTTCTGCTTTCGACAAAATACCCAGATTCTGACGCAAATTTCTCATTATTACCGTATATATTTTAGTTATAAGTGTTATCATTATTTTCGCTTTCACTGTATATATTTTAATTGTAAGTGTTGTCAATATATTCATCTATTTTACCGTTTACGTATGTTTCTATATCATGCTTACTAATCTCAACTTACTTTTTCTCACTCACGCACAAGCAATCCCTTGCTTCTGTGAGCATATACGTTTATTATTCTATATTTATTGATTTTAATCGGCTAAACAGGTTTAGTGTATTCAATGGCTTTAAAATTTTGTAACCAATCTTCAACTATTTTTTCTTTTGTAAGCTTTCAAGAAAATAATCTTTCGTAAGCTACTAATCGCTCTTAGAAAATATTTGGTAATGCGTCGTAATTAGTGTATTTATGGCAAATTATTTTACTCTCCAATTATCCCCAAATGGAATGTGAGGGTGTACAATAAATACAGCCGATCAAACATGCCGGACTGAGTGAAGAAAGCAAATTAGTCCTCCACGAGAACCTGTCGAGGAATCTTCAGCAACAGCAACTTGAAATAAGGACTCAAAATCTGAGGACAACGAACGACCGTATTTGTAGATTTATAGCCGTCAGCCGCATACCTGGTTGGGGCCATTCTCAAATCTGTAAACATTCGCTCTACTATGGAATTCGAATTTTTTATCGAACTTCATCTGAAGCCCTTCTTTTGTCTGACAAGGAGATATATTTCGGTCATCAAGATACAGGAGCAGATACTCGCGCGTCTTATCTGAATTCTTTGCTGTTCCTGAATGTGCCCTCCAAAATATAAATTTCTGCTTGGTGACAGTTCCCGTACAGACACTGAAAATTTTATTTCAAAGAAATGTACCTACTCTCACTCATAAGTTGATTTTTGCGGGTTTTTTTGGAGAAAGACTAAACATTTCAGAAATAACTGTACGACGTTGGTTCAAAAAATAATGCAAATGTTAAAATTTCCCGGCTATGAACATTAGATTAGCGATTTTTTATTTTTTTATGTTGGTTCACCCGTATCGAATATATGTTCACAGTTCCAGCTGTTTAGCACGTTTAGTTTGTTGGTGAAAAGCATAGAAGTTGAAATTGTTTTGCGTGTTCGGACATTTTTTGCTATCGAAATAAATGGATTGGAAAAATGCCATAAAATTTTGTGTAAAAAATGGAATCAGGCGTTCGAAACACTCGAAATGTTGACAGTGGCATACGGTGATTGTACTCTGAGTCAGAAAAATGTTTACAAATGGTTCAAGCTTTTCACAAAAGGTCGAGAATGGCGACGTTAGCCCTGGACGCCCCGACACATCAACAACCGATGGAAATATTGGGAAAGTGGAGAAAATTGTTACGTATAATTGTCGAATCACTGATAAAGAAGTTGCTGATGATGTCGACATATCGGTTGGTTTATGCCATGCAATTTTTTTTGGATATTTTCCAAAATTGCTGTATTTTGACCAGAAAAATCGTCTTATGAACATCGCTCAAGAATTGTTGAAGGACGTCAACGATAGTCTAGATTTGCTTGAAAAGGTCACAACTGGTGACAAATCATGAGTATATGATTACCAAAGTCTAATCGTCCCAATGGAAGAGCCCAGGGAAGCCAAGATCAAAAAAGGAACGCCAAGTTCAATCAAATTTCAATGTCACTGTTTCCTTCGATTACCGTGGCGTAACGCATTAGGAGTTTTCACCACATGATCGTACGGTCAACAAAGAGTATTACCTTGAAGTTATCCACGTGCTCACCCTGCATTGCTTTTTTGTAATTTTTTTGCCAAAAACAACACCGTAGTCATGCTCAGTCACCGTTTTCAACAGATTTGGCCACCTGCGATTTTCTCCTGTTCCCAATATTGAAGAGACCCATAAAAGAACGGCATTTTGTGACAATTGAGGGGATAAATTCCGAATTGCTGAGTGTGTGAATTAGAAAAAAGTGAAAAAATCATTTTATGTTTCATTCAAGGAGAAAGATAATAATGATGTAGATGATGTATTGAAAACTGAAAAATGATTCGAAAGGTCCTAGGTAGCAGTTATCATACCAATCTCCTCAACAATCTAAGGTAACCTGAGTAAATATGTAGATTTTATTATTTCTCATCTGATCAATATCGTATATTAATGAGGAGAATAGTGTGATGACTGCTACCTGGGACCTTCCGAATTAGTTTTCCATATTTCATCATCATCTTTTTTTTTCAATAAAACTGTTTCACATGAAAAAATGTTCGAAAAATTTTTCAGTTTCTAATTTTGTCACTGAATTATTCTCATTCTGTTTAGTTAAAGTCAAGCTCTGTCATTTGATACCCATGTTGAGGTTGTTGTGAAATCATATGTAATCCGTCTTTTGAAGCTGCGGCCATCTTGGATTTACAATGATACAGAATCAAATGACTCATTGTATCATGAAAACTTGATGTGTGAACCAAATTTCAGATTAATCCGTCAACAGAAAGGAAGTAAAACTTTGATTACCAAATTTGACCCATACAAACAAACAGAGCGAGCTAAATGGAACTGTTTGAAAATGAAATCGTTATAAAATAGTAATTGATAAATGAATGAATATTTTTGGAGAACATGAAAATTCACCTTATTTTTCAACACACCTCGTACAGCTTCACATTACCACTATTTATGAGGTTTTTTATACATAACGCTGATCAGGACATGACATACCAAATTCTTGATCTTTTACAACAACGTAGCTTGGTAAAGAATGGTTAGTAGATTAAATCAAACCTAATATATTGTTACATTGCCTATATATTTTGAGGTTCAACTCAGTATACCTCTTACTCCACTTTTTGAAAACTCTTTCATTTGGAGAACTGCGTTTATGTGGAATAAACTTCCTGAGAATGTTTTTCGAAATGGATTTAATCTCCAGCGATTCA